TATGCGCATAAACCTTGCGCGCGGTATACAAACGAACATGGAACAATACATTTATTAACCTGTGTTAATGTTACTTATTAAAAAGACAATCGTTCAGTGTTTGTTCATGTTTTTGTTGCTGTTACGTGACATAGCGGTGTCTGACTAGGGGCGAGACGTGGGCTGATGACGTCTTCGTTTCAGAAAATATATGGATTCGCTGTCCACACGAAGACGCAAGGGCGGCGTTTTCAGATTTATCAACTCTGGGACCCGGTTTCAAAAAATATCGGTTTCACTCTCCCAAAACGCTGGATCCGTCTGGACGAAACGCCTATACGATACAAAATGTATGCGTATACAGCTAAACGCGTCTCCGTGTGGACGGGGCCTTACTTCTCTTAATTCTGACCTCTTTTCTCAGAACTCAATTCTGAGGGAAAAAAGACTCTTACAATTGCGACTTTACATCTCGCAATTCAGACTTTTTCAATTGCAAGATACAAACTCTTAAAAAAAAAAATAAAGTCAGAACTGTGAGTTTATATCACATGCAATTCTGAAAACTAAAAAAAATAAAATAAAAAACAACTGCAAGATGTAAAGTCACAATTGCGAGGAAAAAAAATCAGAATTTTGAGATTAAAAATCGCAATTACCTTTCCTTTTTTATTTATTTTTTCATTCAGTGGCGGTAACAGGCTTCCATAAATCTTTTTTCCATTGCAATGCTAAGCAAACAGGCCAACCAATAAGATTTACACTTTTAGTCACATGATCAGAGCTGCTAGTGTTACATACACCTTAGTAATGACATAATGCTTCAAAAAACACCCTTGCCACCAGTCAGATGACACCAGCATTGTGCCAGTGAGTTTTTCAGAGGCAAGCAGCCTTTTACACATAATCATCAAGCACATTTCTCTACAAACAAACAGAGAGACTCCTTCCTCGCCCTCTCTTCTTTCACTCACTGCCCCATCAAATGAATTTTAGCTGAACTCATTAAGGCATCCTGAAAATTAAATTAACTTCAAAACACGTACAAAACAACGTACGGTAAACATAACCGTATCCACATAAATAGAGGCAGAGAGACCATGAGGAGGCCAAGCACTCTACAATAAACTTTATTCAGACTGATGATGAGGAAGAAGACATTAACATTTAAAGCCATACATGTTTCTACCTCAGTCTGAAATTAGTCTTCATTTCATCGAAGACATTTTCGCTCACAGTTGTATTTTTGAGCTAGTCTTGGTTTAGCATCTCACTGCAGGAATTCCCCCACTATGTTCTGAGTGGGAAATAAATACA